GGATGGACATGGTCACCAACAATACTCAGGTAGGCTGTGGCGTTGCAACGATGCTCAGTTGGTACCAAGGGGCCCAAAGAGTGCCAAGAAAATATTCCCCACACCATAACACCACCACCACCAGCCTGAACCGTTGATACAAGGCAGGATGGATCCATGCTTTCATGTTGTAGACGCCAAATTCTGACCCTACCATCCGAATGTCGCAGCAGAAATGGAGACTCATCAGACCAGGCAACGTTTTTCCAATCTTCTATTTTCCAATTTCGATGAGCTTGTGCAAATTGTAGCCTCAGTTTCCTGTTCTTAGCTGAAAGGAGTGGCACCCGGTGTGGTCTTCTGCTGCTGTAGCCCATCTGCCTCATAGTTCGACGTACTGTGCGTTCAGAGATGCTCTTCTGCCCACCTTGGTTGTAACGGGTGGTTGAGTCACTGTTGCCCTTCTATCAGCTCGAACCAGTCTGGCCATTCTCCTCTGACCTCTGGCATCAACAAGGCATTTCCGCCACAGAACTGCCGCTCACTGGATGTTTTCTCTTTTTCGGATCTTTGCTTTGCTTGCAGTAGATCAGCAGTTTCTGAAATACTCAGACCAGCCCTTCTGGCACCAACAATCATGCCATGTTCAAAGTCACTCAAATCACCTTTCTTCCCCATACTGATGCTCGGTTTGAACTGCAGGAGATTGTCTTGACCATGTCTACATGCCTAAATGCACTGAGTTGCCGCCATGTGATTGGCTGCTCAGAAATTAAGTGTTAACGAGCAGTTGGACAGGTGTACCTAAAAAAGTGGCCGGTGAGTGTATATATATATATATATATATATAAACTTTGGCGACCTTTAGTCCCTAAGGTGGTGTGTGGCTGAATTTCTACTTCACTGCAGTAAAAAAAAAAAAAAAAACAGGTGTTTTGTATTGGCCTGTAGAAAAATGCACATACCAAATGGCTCACAAGAAGTGACTGTGGATGAGATTACTGCGCGTACGCATCCCAGCAGCATTGGCATGTTGCTCCACAGGCGCAGGGGGGATGTCGGGGTTCTCCGGTAGGGCGTCAGGGCGACATGACATTTAGAACGTCGGACAGCATTTCTGAAAAACGAGATTGGGAGATCCCAGCTCTCGCTGCAACCGTACGCTGGAATGACCCAGATGCAAAAAAGTGCAATGTTGCAAGGAGTTTTGTGATATCTGGTATTGCGTGGGTCCTCCTTGTGGCTGGCTCCAAATCCATTCGGAGTTCCCCCAACAGCTCCAAAATGGCAATGCTGGATAAACGATATGTTTTGATGATCGTTTCCTCGTTCATTCCAAAAATATTCACACAGAGTGAAAAAATGCGTTCTCTGCGTCTCCTTGCTTCATTTCGATGTCTCCTTCTTGCGACAATAACCGCTGCCATGTGTGCACAATTACGCATACAGACCATTTGCACCTTCTTTTGAAACGTGTTAAATATAGAGTCAGATACCGTTAGAAAAATTGCTTTCAGGTTTAATAAATCACTTTGCGAGTGCTAAATTAATATATTTACATGTTCTCCTCCCACAAGACGCACTTTTGCGTGTAAACGCCCCATATTGCATATTCATTGCAGAAAAAGTACTAAATGGATAAGAGGCGCTATTTAGCACGTTTTAAAGACCAAATCCTTTTAGCACGCTGTTGATAGATCAGTTTGTACATTTTTTAGCGTGCGCAGTGAAATAGCTCACGTTTTTATACACGCAAACCTTTGATAGATCCGGCCCTTAGTTTTCATTAAACATGAGGGGCAACAGTGGCGTCAAAAGTAGGAGTTTTCCCTGAAATTGAAGGATTGACGGTTCAGGCCTCGACTCCGACTTCCAGTGTCGTTGTGTCCTTGGGCAAGACACTTCACCTGCATTGTCTACTGATGGTGGTCAGTGTACGGCAGCCCCGCTTCTGTCAGTGAGCCCCAGGGCAGCTGTGGCTACAATGTAGCTTGCCACCATCAGTGGTGAGTGTGTGCATGAATGGGTGAATGAATGTAGTGTAAAGCGCTTTGGTCAAGTCTCCTGACTTGAAAAAAGGTGCTATATGAGTACAGGTCATTTACTTATACTTCAAATTAGCAATTGTTAAAATTGTTAAAAAACACAATATATGCATACATACATACACTACTGTTCAAAAGTTTGGGGTCACATTGAAATGTCCTCATTTTTGAAGGAAAAGCACTGTACCTTTCAATGAGGATAACTTTAAACTGTTTATCTTGAGCAATGATATCAAATTTCATCGCGGAGGAGGGAGAACATTTATTTTTAAGGACTTGGAGAATAAGCAGTAAGGAACTGAGGTAAAAAAATATTTGGTTTTACTACAATAAAAAAAGATGTTCAGTTCATTCCTCTTCTTGCTCACATAGACAACATTTTTTTTACAGCGAATTTTAATTTGGAGCATATGAATTGGTTGGAAGGATAAAAGTCATTTGAAGTTTTTAATGAAGCTCTTTATATTTAGTTGGAATAGCAAACTTAAGATATTTGGTTCTCAATACACAGATATCATTTTTGTAGTATTCTTTTAACAGGAAAATCTTTTAATTGATAAGGATATAAGATATTTGTTGACACTTTTCTTAAAAAGATGTTTTTGCATTTTTTCATCTATTATATTGTTTTATTTAATAAATATATTTTTAAGTTTAAGAACTGCAATATTACTGAAGCAATCTTGAACTAAATTGATCAATGTTTTGGGGAAATAATTTATAATTTGTCCACATTCCTGGAATGACAATTAGGCATTATATGTATCATTTAAATCATCCAGTGATAATAACCCTCCATAACTTCTCACTGCTGTTCTGGGAGTTAAGATGTTCAGGGAGCTTCAGGAGCAGAACTGTATCAGATTTAAATTCCCACTGCAGATATATTAGAATCCGGTCCTGAGGCTGATGTGTTTCTGTCATCAATTTATGATTCATAATTTCCAGCTCTTATCTTGTTTAAACTCTTCTGCTAGCCAGATGTTGACCGATCATGGTAAAAACAAGATGCAGAGATTTGATGCTCCTCAGCAAACAGACAGACCATCATCTCCAGACCTAAACAGAGGAACATTTCCAGTTTCCATCCACCTGAGGCTGTTTCCATCCTTTCTAGGTGTGTTACTGAGTGAATGAGGATCAATGGGATTCAGTTCCATCGTTCAGGTTTAAACCATTAAAGATGAAACTCTGGAAAAAAAGTAAAGGAGGATTTATTCAATGGCCAGATTTGAACACACTCAGGCTCTAAAAAGCAAAAAAGATTAATGCTGATGGAGGAGCAACAGGAAAGACTGGAGAAGACAGAAGGTGAATGACATTAAACTATTTATTTTAGCTTTAGTTTGGCTGAAAATATCAGAGAAAACATGGAAAATATTGTTCCTTATTTATATGAAACCATAAAGAAGCACATTGTTTCAATCCAAGAGGTTTTATTGCTGCTCGTTCATCAATTTAGAAGCGATTACAATAATTAAAAACATCCACAGCAGAATATAATCCATAAAATCAGTTGTATAAAATAGGTGATAGTTACTTTCAGTCATAGCAGGTAAATAGAACATCTACAGAATCAAGAACAAAACTATTAGAATTAGTTCAAAGGAAAATTATACTTTCAAAAAAATGTTTAAAAAGCAGAAACTTCACACTTCTAGAGGAGAGTCAGATTTCTTTAATACATTATTAAGACAAAGGCTTTTTACCAAGTTAAAGCAGGTTCAAACTGATCAGTAAAAATAACATCAACATCATCAATCCTGTTTATCTTTTTAAACAAACATGTTTCATCATTTTAGGACTTCAATTTACCTGAACTACAGACTCCAGCCTCTAAACTGAGTTCTTTGACGTCCCGTAGTTTAACCCCATAATCCCAGCACCCCCTTTCAAGGTGGCTGGAGCTACTTTGCAACATTAATTAGCTTGTAGCTGACTAACTCTGAGACTGACACACACTTATAAATGTCCCAAATCTTCATCTGAGACTCCTCTATAGATGATCTACTTCATTCTAATATCCATTGACCATAGCTCTAACACTGGGCCAAAAACAGTTGGAGTTTTGGTGGGCCTGGTTTCAACAACACACGTAGCAGGGCTGATTGATGCATTGCTAATGAAAGCCAACAAGACACTGAATTAGCTAAACTCTGATCATTTGCAGCTGATCTCTGAGAAAATCCTCCAAAAACATCAGCAACACTGAGCAAAGCTCATTAAATCTGTCCTAGCTTTGCTTTTATTTTCATCTGAGGATATTTTCATCTGAATAAAAGTCTGTTTCTGGAATATATCCAACCACAGCTTAACAATCAGGTAACAGTTTGCTACGTCTCAAAAATAAAACTTTTTTTTTCTGAATAAATTCATCCAGAAAATAGTTGTGCCACACCATACCAAAAATCACACAGTGGGGGTCTCTCTGGATTTTTTTCAATTGAAACATCTAGAACTTCTCATTTGCTTATTGTACTGACAGAAAACTCGCTTCATCTGCAACCAAGATGTTGTTGTTGCACTTTATTAAGTTTATTCCCTTTATCACAGAAAAAGCAAGAAATTATGAATGTAAACAGCTTTTCTGTTAGGGCGACGTTCTATTTTTGGCCATTTAAATCGAATTTACTCAGGACCAAAATAATTAACTTTCTTATGTTCACATCCACATATTCGCCCAGGACCTGAATATTTACCAGGTTAACAATATCTTATCTGTTCTAGTTTCAATGTAAACACAGCTATTAATTCATGGCTTTATGAAAACTTTTCTAAAAAAGAAAAAAAGGACATTAACCCGTGGACATTTTATCTCCAACATGGAAAACGACTCTACTGTTCATTCCTGTGGCATCTAACTGTTATGACTTATGTTAAACAAATGGCTTTTGTTTTTTTAAATCAATAAATCATTCCACATCATGCATAAATAAATGTCACCTGGATACTTAAATTACCTTCTCATTTAAAATCTTTGAATAATCATTCAGAACAGGTTCTCAACTGTGTGAATTCTCATATGTTTAGTCAAATTACTTTTTAGAGTAAAACTTTTGCCACAAATCGTGCAAGAAAAAGGCTTCTCACCTGTATGAATTCTGGTGTGAACATTAAGATCAGTCTTAGAGGTGAAGCGTTTTCCACAGGAAAGACATTCAAAAGGTTTCTCACCTGTGTGAATTCTCATGTGTCTAGTCAAGTGACTCTTGGCAGTAAAGTTCTTGTTACAAATGGTACAGGAAAAAGGTTTCTCACCAGTGTGAATTCTGGTGTGTTTATCAAGTTCAGTCTTAGAGGTGAAGCGTTTTCCACAGGACAGACATTCAAAAGGCTTTTCACCCGTGTGAATTCTCATGTGTATCTCAAAATGAGATTTCTGAGTGAAGCATCTTCCACAGGAAAGACATTCAAAAGGCTTCTCACCTGAGTGAATTCTGATGTGAGTATTAAGATCAGTCTTAGAGGTGAAGCTTTTTCCACAGTACAGACATAAAAAAGGCTTCTCACCCGTGTGAATTCTCATGTGCCTGTCAAAACTAGATTTCTGAGTGAAGCTTTTTCCACAGGAAAGACATTCAAAAGGCTTCTCACCTGTGTGAATTCTGGTGTGAGTAGTCAAACTGCTTCTTTCAGTAAAGTTCTTGTTACAAATGTTACAGGCAAAAGGCTTCTCACCAGTGTGAATTCTCATGTGCCTGTCAAAATTAGATTTCTGAGTGAAGCTTTTTGGACAGGACAGGCATTGAAAAGGTTTCTCACCAGTGTGAATTCTGATGTGAGTATTAAGATCAGTCTTAGAGGTGAAGCGTTTTCCACAGTACAGACATAAAAAAGGCTTCTCACCTGTGTGAATTCTCATGTGTATCTCAAAATGAGATTTCCGAGTGAAGCATCTTCCACAGGATAGACATTCAAAAGGCTTCTCACCTGTGTGAATTCTGGTGTGAGTAGTCAAACTGCTTCTTTCAGTAAAGTTCTTGTTACAAATGTTACAGGTAAAAGGCTTCTCACCAGTGTGAATTCTGATGTGAATATTAAGATCAGTCTTAGAGGTGAAGCGTTTTCCACAGTACAGACATAAAAAAGGCTTCTCACCAGTGTGAATTCTTGTGTGTCTATCAAGTTTAGATTTCTTAATAAAGCTTTTTCTACAGATCTTACACTGATAACACTTCAGACTCATGTGAGCCATTAAATGCTCTTTTTTTAGAAAGTTTTCTCCACATGTTAAACATGGTAAAGGTTTCTCTCCTGTATGTTCAGCTTCCTGCCTTAGAACAAGCTGCTCTTTCTGCTCACTTATGGGGAGCTCCATGGTTTCCTCTTTTGTCCAGGGATGTTCTGGTTCTTGCTGCTCTTCTTTTATCTGCGGATGTTCTGGTTCCTCTTGGTCCAAACTGGAATTCCTCTCCTGTCCACAGAGCTGCTGGTCTGAGAAAACCTCTTTTCCAACATAATCAGGCAGGCGGTCTGGAAAGCCAAACACAGCAAAAATACTTTCTGTTGGTGGTTAAATAAAAGACACTTCACTTTAATCATCCTTGTGTCAATCTAACTACATACAAAGAGACTGGAACTACATCTCCCAGCATGCACTGCAGCTCTGACATCTCAGTCAGAGGTTTGGGGCTCCACTTTAATCTTTAAAGCTTTAGATTATGTCTGAACAGAACATGCTTTTCTTTTATTTTCCCAGTACAAAAACCCAATCTTAGTTTTCCAAACAATTTAATTATTGATGTTTTACTGAAGGGTTAAAACATCCTGTGGGATCTAGCCTTGATTTTTATTTAGACAACCAATATTAAACAATTACCGTATTTTCACGACTATAAGGCGCATATAAACGTCTTTTTTTCCCCTCAAAATGTGCGGCGCGCCCTTTGGTGCGGTGCGCCCTATGTGTGTTGTTACTGCGGACTTTTGAGACCACCATGCACCATGCAGAACTCCTCATCTCCTCATTGAGGAGATGATGAAAGAGTGGCTGAGGGAGGTGAATGTAAGGAGACCAGGTGGTTTTTTTTCACTCATCACCATCTCTGTTAATCTGTGACTCCATGCGTGCCCATCTCACAGCTGATGTGAAAAACATGGTGAAACAAATGAACGCTGTGCTTATTGCAGGAGATCTGACAAAGGAACTTCAACCGCTCGACATCGGTGTGAACCGGACCCAGCAGGTGCAGAAGAAGCAGCGAGTTTACATGCAAAGTCAATGGTTGACGCCCGTATAGGCGCAGCAAAAGGTCCCGCAGCGCGTTTTGAGCAGCAGGCGCAGCGCGTCGGGAGCGTTTAAGCATCTGACGCGCTGCTGCTGCTCCAGATGGAAAAATTTAAGTTTTGCTGCTGGACAGCAAATATAGCTGCAAGGCAAAGAAAGGATAGTGAAGCTCCGCCCAACGCGCGTCAGACACACTTTTGCACCGCGCAGCCAGAGCAGCTAAGCTGCTTCAGCCGCGCGTCAGAACTAACTGGTACAATCTAAGGATGATGACTTTGATGGGTTTGATTAATACTTTGTAATAAATACATGAATAAAGCACAATCATACTCAGTTTTGTTCCCGTTCGATTTTTAAATACGCAGTAGAGGTATTTAAACGAAGTAGAGGACATGTACCTGTATATAAAAAACGCGCCCTATAGTCCGGTGCGCCTTATGTGTGTGTTAAATACAGAAATGGCACACATAACTGAGACTGAGCCTTTTAGTACGGTGCGCCTTATGGTCGTGAAAATACGGTAAAACAATCTGAATATCTCTCAACCGTCTCAGAAATTCCATCTTGCTTTGCATTCATTGGTAAAATAACCATCTGTACGTCTATTTCCATCATACAAATGTCTGAACATGATCATTTAATGAGATATAATCAGGGGCGAACATAAAAAAAAAAAAAAAAACTTTGGGGCTTTTCATTTTAAATCATGACGGGGACAGGATGTTATTGTATCAGCCAGAGACTTTATACTCTTTTCTTCTCTCATAATTTCAAATAAATCTGTTTGACTGTTCTCAACTACTGACACCTTTAGCTATTATGCTAGATCTGCTAAATTGAACCCGTCTCTTTATATGCACTGAATGAACTATTAATGTTGAACATGGATTGTTTATTTCCAGCTTCTGTAAAGGGCTCCTGAAAAGCCACAGAAACATCTGCATGTTCCAGCTCCCACCACCAGCTGATTAACAACACAAACTAGAACCAGATGCAACAAAAGCTCCTCTGGGTCTCTTTGTTGAAGTTTCACAAAGCAGATAAAGCTTTCAGAAATCCCAAAGAGGGTTTGAAAGATTCTGCTCTCAGATTGGAATAATCTAAGTGTCTGAGTTCTGTAGTTTTTTAAAGTTGAGCAGATTAAAGACACTTAAACGTCTTCAGACTTGGAAACAAAATCTAGTGGATTGTTTTTTTTTTTTTACTTTTTTGGAATAAAGACACTTAAGATGATGAGAAGAGTGGCTGTAATTATTAATGCGGCTTTACTTCTGAATTCTTCAACATCTTAAAACTGAAATATTTTTTGAGTTCAGGGTTTTATACAGTAGTCCATCAGAACCTTGTTTATGTTTAGAAAACATGCTAATTAAAACAGACGAATCTAGCGGCACAGTTGTGCAGCTCAGCTAAAGCTAGCATACTTGCACATTTGAAATGTTTTTTGAAAAAAAGAGACTATTTTAAGATGTTTAAATTAAGATCTGTGGCTGATATGGTTGTGGTTTGACCGTAGCTATTAGCTGGGCTGCTTTTCAAAAACCATAGTTGCCAAAGTAATGCATTATTGTTTCCCAAACTATGTTGCTAACAGTTTAGCAGCTATGCTTTTAGTAAACAAACCCTGTTTAAAGCCTTTTTCCAGCCTTAGAATGGATGTTTAATCCAATCCTCCCGCCGCCATGTGCAGACTAGTGATGGATCCAGCAACACGACTGCATGGAGCTCATAGAGCAAAACACTATCGGCGTGTCGTTTTAAGAAAGTCATGTGACCGATATAGGAGCTGTTTCTAACTGACTGAGACACTAAACTGTGTTTAAAAACGTATCTGTCAACATGATGCATCTGCTAAAACAATGTTTTTAATCTGTTGATGTTTATCATTAAAATGATCAAGATATTTGGAGCAGCCTAACCCCCAGATTCCACATACTCCGTCAGCGGGGCGGAGCGGCGTGCGTAGCGCTTGTCTTTCATGTAAATCAATGAGAGCTGTTCCACATCCACCGCTACTCTTCCGCACGTCTCCGTCCACGCACGTCTTCTCCGTCCGTCACCGACAAATTACGGAGCCGAGCTATTTTTTGCTCCGCTCCGGTCAGGTCAAGATCCGCAATTGCAATCGCACCAAACAGGAAAAAGAACATCGACATATTCCGGTTCGTCAAATTAAAATATAGCAGCAACAGATCGGTGACTAGAAATTATAGCACAATTCTTATATGTAAAAAAAAAAAAAACACAGTTTATTTAAATGATTGGATCCAAACTATTGGTTATTCACCAACCAGGAAGCAGATTTCTCATCTCCATCAAAATATTTATTTTATACCGAGGGACTTAAACTTCAATCAAATCCATTCAAAAGAAACTTCTTATCACAGGAATGAAAAGAGATGCTGAGTTTGGGAGTAGAGAACAAGTTCATTCAAAAAAAGCAGTTTTGAATTATCCTTATCCCCGTTACAAAAATCTACAAAAATATATATATATATATTTGGGCAGAAACTGAACATATGCTGGATGATGGTGGGATTTTTTTAATATGTCATATTAAATCAAGCGCTCACAGGGTTCATACAGGAATGAGTGACTCTAATTTAATGCTATTTTAATTCTATTAGAAATGATTTTAATGCCATCAACAAGAACCATGTACACAAGTTATTAGTGTACATGAAATATGAAGGAGCTGTAAGCAGAGTTCCATGACTCCTGTATGTATGTAAACACACACACACACATATATACGTATATATATATATCCCCTAGCTTTTTCTCCGCCTGGAGCTTCCTTTCCGAACATACGGCTTTATGATCAGTTTCACGCAAATTAATAGCGATATAATATATCTGACGAAATTGTTTTTATAAGCATTTTTTATTAAAGAATTATAAATACTTTGATAAACATATTTAAATAATTTTAGTGCCAATTAAGGCCTTGATTTAAAAAAAAAAATGAATGAATTGTAATTATTTTTAATGATCCGCGGAAACCCTGGTTCATCTCGCGCATGCTCCCTACGATCTCCAAGAAACTCAGAGCGGAGCGGGCTGGATGTATGCTTTGCTTTGTGCAGGCGGTCTGGAGCGCAGCGGGGCGGAGCGGAGCGCTGACGGAGTATGTGGGATTTCAGGGTAAGAGGAATAGAAACGCTTCAGCTGCTGCGTTTTTATTTTCATTTCCTCATTGTGTCGTCCTTTTCCTCTCAGTTATCACTCAACTTATCTGAATTAAAGTTATTACAAATCAACTGTACTTATTGTTTTAAAAGTATGATTTAAAATCCTGGTCTACAAGCATCCTCATTCACATTTTCACGTTATGATAAATGTTTACATTATTTATTGGCTGCATCTAAAAAAGATATTTTCAATTTAAGCATAGATATGAAATACTACAATATAACCTACAGTAACAAATTATATCATTGTATTAGGTCATCTGTACGTCTATTTCCATCATGATCATTTGATGAGATATAATCAGGGGCGAACATAAATAAAAAAAAGAAAAAATCCCAACTTTGGGGCTTTTCATTTTAAATCATGACGGGAAAAGGATGATATTGTATCAGCCAGAGACTTTATACTCTTTTCTTCTCTCATAATTTCAAATAAATCTGTTTGACTGTTCTCAACTACTGACACCTTAGCTTAAAATCTAGATCTCTTTCAAACTGGGCACCGTTTCATTCACAACACCTGTCCATCAACCAGGAATACTTTAATAATCCCAGGGAGAAATGACTCTGTATGTAATAGAGTGACTGTAGGACCA